CCACAGATGGGGCAACCACAAGGTACTGATACCTCGGGAGCGGCCAAGAGGGGGGTGTACAAGAGGGGGGGGTGCAAATCATGACCGGCGGCACGTGCGCGGCCCAGCGGGGGGGCCAGGGACGTAATGGAATAAGAAGAGGCGCCATGAAATCTGGGGAAATACCATGGCCCCCGCCATGATATCCACACCCCCCTAGTCATCACCCCCCTCTTTGCCGACCCCGAATGCCGCCACTCCCCGGACCTCTCCCGAGGCGCGGTCTGACCAGGATCTCGAGGCGAACCCAGCGGTGACGAGGAGGGCCTCCCATAGGAGGCCCGCAATGGGGAAAACGACGGAAGGCTAGCGGCATGGGTACTCCAGATTTCGTAATAGAAGGGAGGGGGTCGGACCCTCCAAGACAAGCAATTTCAGACCTCCCCCGTGGGAGAACCCTCCAAAACGTCGTCCCCAGACCCCCCCAGGCCCTCCAAGATAGCCTGGAAGAGACCCCCCCCCGAAATGAGACCCCCCTCCCTCTATTACAAAATCTGGAGTACCTTGACTTCTTCCGAAGACCCAGACCCCCGACGTCATGACTTGTGTCATGACGTCGGCCCCCAGAGATCTCGACCCCTTCCCCCCGGGACCGGCTTCTCACCCTGCATGCCGCTCTCTGACGCTCCCGAGGCCCGGCGAGGGCCCCCATCGGGGGACCGAAGACCGCGACAGCCCTCCCGCCGCGATGTCTCATTGGCCCGAGGGGGTCTGGGAAGAGAGGGCACAGGCGCCGCTGGCGCTTGGAGCCGCGGCCTTCGCAGCCGCACTCCCAGACCCCCGACGTCATGATTTTTTCATGACGTCGACCCCCAGAGGTCCCGACCCTTTCCCCGGGACCGGCTTTGTATCCCGAGTCGTTTTTTTGACGCTCCCGAGGCCCGGTGAGGGGCCCCCGGGGACCGAAGACCGCGACAACCCTCCCGTCGTGATTTTTTCATTACTCGAGGAGGTCTGGGCTCCCTGTGCGCACACGGGCGACGCGCGGGCCCCTCGCGGAGAGGCCCGCAGAGGCGCCGAGGGCGGCGCCGACGCGGCGGCCTCGGAGCGCGTCGGCCACGGTGTGTCGCGCCCGGGGCCCGCTGCGGCCTCGCTCCCGGCATCCGTGCGGGGCGGCGTGCCCGGACCCCCCCTCGCGGTGGGAACAGAATCGCGACGGGTCGGCTACGCGTAAGAGTGACCCCGGGTAAGAGTGACCTGGGTAAGAGCGACCTATGGTGAGCAGAATCGCGATGGGAGGCTTTGTTCGGGGATCTTCCGACCCGGGCCAATCCAGACCCGGGTCAGCAGGAAACCAAAAACTGCAGTGCAGGAAAAACAAAAAAGCTGCAGCGCAGGTCCCCGCAAACCCGGGTCAGCCAATACGTGCGGCCGCCTCGCGGCCACGAGCGGCTCGCTAACCCGGGGCAGCCAAAAGGGGTCTTCGCAGGATCCTGCAGGATCAGGCGCCGTGGCTGACCCCGTTTGCACTGACCCCCGTCTCAAGGCTCCCGATTTGTCGCTATTTATCCCCTCCCCGGGCCCTTCTAAAAGCGACTCGGGACGAGAAACGTCGACGTGACGAAAAAAAACATGCTGTCGGGCGTCTGGGCTCGGGGCCTGCCAGAGTTGCCCGCGGCCCCAGGTGCGCCCCCAGCTCCTGGCTCCCTCTCCGGGGCCCCTGCGGCCCGCCTGGGGCCTCGTGAGGGGTGCTCGGGGGGGCCCTGGGGGCCTCCTCGGCAATCCTGAGGACACCCTGGGCCAGGGGGACTGCTGGCAACACCCGAAACGCTGTGGGAGGCCAGCTCAGGGCGGGGAGCATCGAGCTGGAATCGGCGGTACGCTCGCCGATAGATCGGCAATGGGCCCCCGATAGTGAAAAAGGGCACGCTCCTGGGCGAGTGGACTATCAGGCACCCGTCGGCGATGAGTGGGCGGTTGGGGGTCGATGCCACCCCGACCGCTAACCCTGACTCAATCAGTTCAGTCTCGAGGAAACGCGGATGCCCCAAGCTCGCCTCCAAGATGGAGACGAAAAGCGTCCAACTTGCAATTGCAGGCAGGACTTCAGCGAGGGCACCATCCCCAATCAGGGATGCGACCAGCGCTGCAGCGGTAGCGCCATGTCCAGTGAGGCGCGTGGCCAGCACCCTGGCTTCAAATGCCGGCGCCAGACCACCCCGCTGACAACTCTGGAGGAGCTCGGACAGCCCAGTGGACACCCCTCTGGACAACCCTTCCTGGACATCATGTTCCGTACCACATCGAAATTACAGTCGACACGTATCACAACGATGGGAGGTAAGGATGCAAGGGCCTTGGAAGGCCACGTGAACGCTTTTCGAAAAAGATTGGCCAGCGAGAGTCGCCATGGATGGATCGAAGAGGCAAGGATACACGGGTACCCTTGGGAAGGTTGCCCATCCTTACTGTACGGGATGACTGTAGCTTCAGGTCGGGCATGCCGCCCTTCAGGCGGATCTTGGACGAAACATGAAAATACTCAAACGATGCTTGAAGTAGTCAAACGAGAATCGAAACACCGTCCCCTGACCATGCTTGACCACCTTCGACTCCTCCCCCTGCAGAAGGACATGCCCGACTTTTCAAGCTGCAGCTGTGGCCGGCTGGCACCCGCGGACCGCGGAACTCGCCCTGGTCGGGGATCTTCTGACCCGGGTCAATCAAGACCCGGGCCAGCAAGAAACCAAAAACTGCAATGCAAGACAAAAAAGCTGCAGCGCAGGTCCCCGCAAACCCGGGTCAGCCAATACGTGCGGCCGCCTCGCGGCCACGAGCGGCTCGCTAACCCGGGTCAGCCAGAGGGGGCCTTCGCAGGATCCTGCAGGATCCGGTGCCCTGGCTGACCCCCGTTTGCATTGACCCCCGTCTCGAGGCTCCCGACCTGGCCGGGCCCGGCCCTGCCCGGCCCCCGTTTGGTGGCCGAGGCGAGGGGGGCAGCCCGGGCCCAAGCAGGTAGGGCCATGCTTCGAGTAGGAGATCGACTACAGAATTGATTTACCCCTGAATTGATTTTCCCCTGAATCTGCGAGATAATCGTAGGATGCTCCGTAGATCTACTGAGCATTGTATGTCATTTTAGTAGTTCCGATGAAGAAATCAATTTCGGGGTAAATCAATTCTGTAGTTAGTCGATCCACTAAATGCTGTTGAGGACGAGTGAGCCTCTGGGGCACGCCAGCAGACACGATGGAGGGACGTGACGGGTGCGGCCAGCGAGCGCCGCGCTCCCCCGCCCCCCCACACACACCCTGGCAAGCACCCCCCCCTCCAGTAGTCTTCCCCCCGCCTCCCCCTTCCGCCCCCCCTCCCCCTCCTCCTGCTCATTCCCCCTCCTCCCCCTGCTCCTTCCTCCTGCTCCTCCTCCTCCTCCTCCTCCTCCTCCTTCTCCTCCTCCTCCTGCGCCTGCTCCTTCTCCTGCTCCTGCTCCTACTCCTCCTCCTCCTCCTCCTCCTCCTCCTCCTCCTCCTCCTCCTCCTCCTCCTCCTCCTCCTCCTCCTCCTCCCCCTTCGCCTCCCCCGTGCTCCTTCCTATGCAGCGCTCCCCCTCCATCCCCCCTCCTCCTCCCTCCTCATTCCTCCTCCCCTCTCCTCCCTTCTCCCCCATCTGGCTGGACGGGGAACGGATCCTCCCTTCTCCCCCATCTGGCTGGACGGGTCCTGGCTCCCCATGCCCGTCCCCTATAAGACCAACTCATCATCCCAAATCATTTTTGGGACAGGATGCCAGTTCCCGGGGAGGGCCCTCCTAGAGCCCGATAATGGCTAAGAACCCTCGGGCAGGCCCCGTCTTCCGCAGGGACCCTCTCCTTTCCGGGGAGCCCCTCCCTCCCGCCTCCCTGAGGGCATCGTCCCGGGGGATGCATGCATCGTGCTTGATGGAATGAGCGATGCACCGCCGCCAGATCGAGGATAGGCCCCTGATAGCGACACAGCGCGTTTTCGGGCGACGTGGGCCATCGGGCCCCAAGCGGCGATGAATGGGCGATGGGGGACCGATGCACCCCCGTCCCTCCGTCCTCCTCCTCCCCCTCCTCCTCCTCCTCCTCCTCCTCCTCCTCCTCCTCCTTCTCTTCCTCCCTCCTCCTCCTCCCCTGCTCCTCCTCCTCCTCCTCCTCCCTTCTCTTCCTCCCTCCTCCTCCTCCTCCTCCTCCTCCTCCTCCTCCTCCTCCTCCTCCTCCTCTCCTCCTCCTCCTCCTCCTCCTCCTCCTCCTCCTCCTCCTCCTCCCCCTCCCCCTCCCCCTCCTCCCCCTCCCCCTCCCCCTCCCCCTCCCCCTCCCCCTCCCCTCCCCCTCCCCCTCCCCCTCCCCCTCCCCCTCCCCCTCCCCTCCCCCTCCTCCTCCTCCTCCTCCTCCTCCTCCTCCTCCTCCTCCTCCTCCTCCTCCTCCCCTCCTCCTCCTCCTCCTCCTCCCTCCTCCTCCTCCTCCTCCTCCTCCTCCTCCTCCTACCTCCTCCTCCTCCTCCTCCTCCTCTCCTCCTCCTCCTCCCCTCCTCCTCCTCCTCCTCCTCCTCCTCCTCCTCTGGCATCCTCCCCCGGTGAGCGCGCGCCCCTTTTGCCGACGGGCGAGGCGAGCGGCGCGCGCCGGCCTCCGCAGAGAGCCCCGCGGCCGCCGCGGAGGGCGCCGCGGCCTCTGCGGGCGCCGCCGCGAGCTCCGCGGGCGGCGCCGTGGCCTCCGCGGGCTGCGCCGCGGCCTCCGCGGCCTCCGCGGGCGCCGCCACAGGTTCCGTGGCATCCGCGGGCGGCGCCGCGGCCTCTGCGGGCATCGCCGCGGCCTCCGCGGCCTTCGCAGAGGGCGCCGCGGCCTCCGCGGCCTCCGCGGGGGCCCCCGCCAGTGCTGCGGCCTCCAAGGGCGGCGCCGCGCCCCCCGTGGCCGTCGCAGAGGGCGCCGCGTCCTCCGTGGGCGGTAGCGCCGCCGCCTCCGCGGGCGGCGCCGCGCCCGCCGCGGGCGGCGCCGCGCCCGCCGCGGCCTCCGTGGCCTTCGCAGAGGGCGCCGCGGCCGCCGCGGGCGGTTCCTGGGCCCAGGCGGTCGCTTTATAGGCCCTCGCGAGCGCGCACTCCTCGCCGAGCACGCCGGCCTGCCGCTCGTCGAAGAGGCCGAGGTTGGCGTGTACGACGCGGTACATCCGCCGCCCCTCGGCGCTGGTGACTCCTGCGCCGCGCTCTGTCCCGGAGGAGGAGGCGGAGGACCTGAGTAGATTCAAGACACACCGACGATGTTGCAACAACCCCTCCCTCCAAGTTCCCTCTTCAAAAGTCCCTACAAGACTGAATGTTCACTGCGGAACGTGTCCCGTTGGCAGACACCGGTCTGAAAATCCCAAGTAGTGCCCGAAAACAATTAAATCCTGGGACTTCCAACGCTGGGAATCAACGATATTGCCTTCGGCCGAGCAGCGGGAGGGATGGGGAAGAAGGGAAGAGGTGGTGGTCACCGCATACATGAAACTAATGCCGAGAAGGGCATCACGCAGAACGACCACGACGACGACGAGGGAGATGAGGCGCGCAGGCGATCCATGGAGCCTTGGCACAAAACAGTGGTCCGACATCGGAATGCTGGTCTTGCGAACTCTGAGGGGCATCTCGCTGTGAACGCCGACCTCTGTACCTCTGGACGTGAGCCCTGTGCTCTCGCCCCAAAGGGCGCACTGCCAGAGGAAGGGGCTGGAGGCGAGGAGGGAGGCGGGAGGAGGGGAAGGCGGAGGAGGGTGTGTGAAGGGGCCCTGGGACACACAAATAAATACACACACATTAAAAGATTCCCCATATTTTCTCATTTTTTGTTTGGTTTTTGTCTTCCCCCCCACTTCTCATAGTTTTGCATATTCTCCTGGGAGTCGACGATGAATTGTGTCTGTGTGTTTCTTCCCCTCCTGAGGTGTGGGCGACCGCAGTGCGCTGCGCAGACCGGCGGGCTGCAATTCCGTGAAGAACGCCGAAGCGGGAACCGATTGGGGTACGGCCAGATCCAAGACAGAAGAACGGCCTTCAAGATCTGAGGACCCTCCGCCAGCTGATCTGACGAGCACTCGGGGGTGCCCTCCCCCAGGGTAAATTTAGAGCAGCAAGCGGGCACGAAGAGCATCAGGGTACCCTCTTCGAACCGACCTCGACCTCACCACCTCGGTCCGACCGTACGCAGAATCGAGAACGGATTGGATTTTCTGGTCACGGCGAGCCTCGGCTACGAATGAGCTCCCCGGCCCACATGTCTGGGAGGCCGCTCGAGCACCAGAGCCCCTCCCGAGCCCTGGTGGCTCATGTTATCGCGCCCCGGGGAGCATGGACTGCATCAACCTCCGCTGTGCCCGAGAAGCGCTCTTGCTCCGCGACTCCCCTGTTCACCCCACGCGCAGACATAATTGGTCATCGTTATGCGGGCAAGATTCATGTCCATATCCAGTGCCTCTTGGACTTTTTTGGAAGCGGCGCCACAAGGCCGAGGCGCACTGGATGTGGAGAAAGATCGAGCCTCTAGGGGGCAGACTTATCCATATCCACGGCGCCTCGGGTTTCTTGGGAAGGGAGAGCCCGAAACTCTATACTGCAGTGGATATGGACAGAAGTATTGCCCGCACGTTAGCCACCCACAGGGTATGCGCTCGCTCTCCTTGGACAAACTCCGGGCTGGCCACGGACTCGTACAGGAGCGCCCTGTCCAGCCGCCCGGCCTCGGGGCTCGCGGGGGGGCACTCCGCGAGCGCGACGGCAACAGCGACTGGCGCTTCGACAAAAAATCCGTTCTTCCTCCGTCGCCGCCTCCACCCTCGTTGGTCTTCCTGCTTCTCCCCCTCCTCCCCCTCCTCCCCCTTCTCCTCCTCCTCCTCCTCCTCCCCCTCCTCCTCCTCCCCCTCCTCCTTCTCCTCCTCCTCCTCCTCCTTCTCCTCCTCCTCCCCCTCCCCCTCCTCCTCCGCTGCCTCCCCCCTGCTCCTACAGTAGGATCTCGACCACAAGAATCCTTGCACACGAAACCCAGCCCTGAACCCCCCAGGACTCGCGTGGACTGCTGGTGCGGGAACGTCGCGCTCTCCACAGCAAAGCCATCGAAACCCAGGAAACCCAGGGCACCCTGGAGGCGAGCAGGGTGCTTCCTGGCATGGGCTTACCTATACGACCACCCTGCGGGTGATAAGGAGGTTGGGGGGGGAGTGGACCAGCGATGGACAATACCGATCTCAGCACGTGAAACCACGGGACACCGACGGGACACCAATGGGACACCGACGGGACACCGACGGGACACAATCGATCTCAGTGTCGATCTCACTATCAATCCCACGATCGATCCCACTATCGATCTCGCTATCGATCTCACTATCGATCTCGCTTTCGATCTCACTGTTCATCTCACTATCGATTACACTATCGATCTCGCTATCGATCGCACTCGATCGATCTCACTATCGATCTCACTATCGATGTCACGATCAATCTCACTATAGATCCCACGATCGATCTCTCACTATAGATCTCACAATCGATCTCCCTATCGGTCTCATTATCGATCTGACTATCGATCTCACTGTTGATCTCACCATGAGACACCACGGGACAACGACGGGACACCGGCGGGACACCAGCGGGACACCAGCGGGACACCGGCGGGACACCGCGCGCCACCTGTTGCCGGGCGGAGAACCTGTTGGTCCGGCCGCGGCCCAGCCACGACGGGACACCGGCGGGACACCAGCGGGACACCAGCGGGACACCGGCTCGCCCGCCCGCACGGCACGAACACGAAACCGAAACCGATGTCCTGGTAGGGGGGGCTCTCCGTTCCACTTCGCGAGCTCACCCCCCAATACCTCCGATCCTCTGCGCCAGCGCGGCCTCCTGCTCCTCTCCGCCTCGTCGCCTGCGTCCACCTCCCCAGACCCCCGACGTCATGATTTGTTCATGACGTCGACCCCCAGAGCCCAGAGATCTCGACCCTGTCCCCCGGGACCGGCTTTGCATCCCGAATCGTTTGTTGACGCTCCCGAGGCCCGGGGAGGGCCCCGGGAGGCCGAAAATGAAGGAAAACCTCCCGTCATGATTTTTTCATTACCCGAGGGGGTCTGCGTCCACCTCTGCACCTTCTCGGCCCGACCCTGCTCCTCCCTTCGCACGCGGCAGCGAGCAGGGGGGCACCGCTCGCCGGCCACGGCCGGCCGGACCCCTGCGTGCGCAACGCTGGCCCATATGGACCGTGTTGGCCGATGACGGCAAGGAGCTCGCTGCCATGGCAGGGACGCTCTCGCCATCGCTCGGACGTCCATTCCGTGTGCTTTTTTCGGATTCGCGCGTGGTTTTTCGCCATATGATCCAGGATGCTACTCGATGGTCCTCGCCGAAGCAAAAAATGCCCACGTCCGAGCGATGCCAAGACATCGGATGCGATGCAGCCGATCCGCAGAGGAAGGACGCGCGTGGAGGATGCAAGGGGCCTCGGAGGGCCACGTCGGCGCTGTTCGAGCGGGGCGCGGCCAGCGAAAGCGGCCGAGGCTGGGCCGAAGGGAAGAAAGGATGTAAGGCAGCCCTGGAACACGGTTCATCCTTGCTACCAACGCGGGCTGACTGTAATATGCGCTTGCCGGCCGTGCATCCGCCTCGTCCCGCTCCGCCGCGGCATCCGCCTCCGCGCCAGCCCTCCCTCGCCGCTTCCCCCCCGCCTCCTAATCTGTATGGCAGCGAGTTGCGTAGCATCCTCGCAGTAACAGTGAGTCGAGCCGATGGAACAAAACGTGTGTGAATATATGGAGAGAGGAGGGAGAGAGAGAGAGAGAGAGAGAGAGAAAAATAAAGAAAGAACAGACAACTAGAACAAGGAGAGGCAGAGACAGCCCGCGCGCGCGCCCGGAGGGTTTCGAGCGGCAAGGGGAAGCGACAGCACTCCGGAATACCCCAGGGACGGCTCCTCACCGCGAGCACCGTGGAATGGGCCGCTTGAAAGCAGGATGGCCCGACCAGTCCCCGAGAATCCCAGCGCACCACCCCGTCTCCTCCTCCTCCTCTCCTCCTCCTCCTCCTCCTCCTCCTCCTCCTCCTCCTCCTCCTGCTCCTCCTCCTCCTCCCCCTCCTCCCCTTTGCACGCCCAGAGCGCGTGCGGAAACGATGGGTATGATAACCTTCCGCCTCTGCTTGGCGAAACGCCCGCGGCGACGCCGACTGCACGCCCTGTCGAAAATGAACCAGACATTCTGTCGGCCTCAGCACCGTTATTTCCGTACGTCTGGATCTGTGACATAGGGAGCCCACAAAGGACGTACGCGCCCAGCTATGTACATGAACACGGCCCCTCGATTCGCGAGACCGGCCGCGATATACGAACATTTGTGCAATTCGTGCTCTCGAAACCAGCGTGGATTCATGTACATGTACGTCCTTCTTTCGCTCCCGAAGACAGAAGAGTCTCCTTCAAGAATGAGGCCCCCTCCCAGGGGATGCGCACGCACGCCCCGCAACACACACGAAAACCATGACTTGGGGTACCCTCCCGAGCCGACCTCGATCTCATACCTCCCCGATCGGCCCAACACATGTCGACCGCGCCGCTCCTCCTCCTCCTCCTCCTCCTCCTCCTCCTCCTCCTCCGCCTCCACCTCCTCCTCCTCCTCCTCCTCCTCCTCCTCCTCCTCCTCCTCCTCCTCCTCCTCCTCCTCCTCCCATTCCTCCCATTCCTCCTCCTCCTCCTCCTCCTCCTCCTCCTTCTCCTCCTCCTCCTCCTCTGACTTGCCGCCGCCGCCGCCCGACACCACTCCGGCAGACAAGGCGGCCCCCGCCCCGCACAAACAAAAGGAGACAAAAGGGGGAGGGGGCCTTGGCCAGGCGCGCCGCCCGGGCGAGCCAGCTGGCTCGAGCGGACGGGTCGAGCTGCAGCACCTGGAGGCACGGACTCTGCGAGGGAAGGGGGGCGAGACCCCCTCGAGTGGTGAAAAAATCATGGCGGGACGTTTTCCTTTATTTTCGGCCTCCGGGGGCCCTCACTGGGCCTCGGGAGCGTCAAAAACGACTCAGGATGCAAAGCCGGTCATGGGGAAAGGGTCGGGACCTCTGGGGGTCGACGTAATGAACAAATCATTACGGTGGGGGTCTGGGGGGGGTCAGAGGGCCTTCCCAGTCCAACATGGTCGGAGCAGCAAGAGGACTTCGAATGGTGGCCTCTCGGGGGAGGAGGAATAGGCATGCCACCCCTCCCCGGCCCTGCCTCGCAGGCCCCCCCAGGCGTCCGCTAGTCAGGGCCAGGAAAGGGTGGGCATACCAGATTGGCACCTTGGCCCCCTATCTGAGCGGGCGGCCACTCGTAGGTGGAGGGTGGGAGGAGGGCGGGCGGGTGGAAAAGGGAGGGACGTAAGCTGCTTGGGTGTTGTCCCCCGTGTCGCCTCGTCGCTCGTCCCCCCCTCTGCACTGGCGCCCTCGTCGTTCACCAAATAACCAACTACCCCTGATAATCAACCCCGGGGGGGATCATATCGTTCGGGGCCCAGGCGGATCGCAGCATAAGGTCGACTACGCGTAAAGATGACCCTTCGCTGGGGTGACCTTCGGTGCTGCCCCGAAGGGGGTCGGATGATTTCCATCGAGGGATGAGCTTGACCTCGCGTTGGCATCAGCATCGCGACATTGCGCTCGCATCTGAGCGCGCTAAATCAACAGCAGCGCGTACGCGTCGCACCGTGCAGCTTGCATTGGTTACCCGAGGGAGGCCGGTCGACCAGTGGGCGCGTTTTCCGGCCCAGGACCAGTCCCGAATCCCAGCCCAAATCCCAAAACGCTCGTTTAAAGTATTATTGGATATCTTTTGATATCTTTGAATATGCTTGACTACGTTTGAATATGTTCGAATAGCCACTGGGGGGATTTATTGTTATAACTTGTAATGTATCCATATTTATTCAAACATCTATTCCAGGCTCTCGGATGGAGCCGGTGTTGACCATGACGCCGGGCCTGGTCAGACGTCATCGCGATGCAGCCCGGCACTGCCAGAACTCGTCGCGGTGGCCCTCGGCGGCGTCTGTTTTCGCAGCGCCTTCGCATGGCCCGAGTCGGATTCAATCGGCGGAATTTCGCAGTTGCCCGGTGGTGCGACACAAAATTGTCGAGTGGCGCCCCGCCGATCTTTGACGCGGCGCGGCAACGCCAGCTTGCGCGATTGCGTTGGGCCCCCGCGGGCGCCCCTGGAGCCGCGCACCAAAGGTCACTCTAGCCTGGGGTCACTCCTACGTATCGTCGACAAGGACGTTGATGTTAATGACGACGATGATGATGATGGTGATGCTGATGATGGTGATGATGATGGTGATGTTGATGGCGATCCCGCTCTTCAAGGGGGTCGGAGCCGAAACGCTAACGCCAGCCGGAACTCGCCGCCGACTGCTTCGCCACCGGTGCCCGTGCAACTCCCCGCGCGTGCCAGCAGCAGGCTCCACTGACAGGCCCTCCTGTGCCCACAAGCGCCGCCGCGCACATAGACTTCGCCAGGCGGCATAGGGACGGTGTCCCTCCCAGGCGCCCGGGAGCGCGCTGCGCTGGCGAGGACAGGGCACGTCTACGCATCAGGCGCAGGTCCTGCGGGCCACCCGACCCACCACCCCCTTTAAGGGTGGCCGCTGGGGACGAGGAGCAATTTTCTCTCTCCTTGACCTCCTAGAGCAAACAAAGGTGACGCTTGGGCTGCTACCCGCCTGATGTTCTGGGAAAGGGCCCCAGTGGCACAGGTGGCATGATGATGATGATGACGATGCTAATGATCATCATGATGATGATGGTGCTGACTGTGCACATCCTAAAGCTGTTCGGCGCTCTCGAGATCGTTTACGATGAAGTTGCTAGTCAACATAAGGAGATAGAACATCCTATTAGCAACTTCCCCCCGCGAAAGTTAAGTTCGGCCTTGCCGCCCCTTCCTCCGACCAACTCTGCCTTGGCCGTTGAAAATGACCTCTCAAGTCGTCAGGGGGGCATGCTGAATTATCCGGGAATTGGGGTTATCGTCGCCGTCAAGGATGGTGGTGCCGTGTGACGAGTCCGATTTTGATCGAACGGAGAAGATGCAGGAAGGAGGCGGGGAGAAAAAGGGGGGGCAGGAGGCAAGGGGAGGGGGCGTCGGCGACGACGACTGGCCCTCCAGCTCTTCTGCTTCCCCCTCTGCCCCTCTCAAGAATCGGCGGTGGACAAACCTCCCTTCAGTAAACCTCCCCTTAGTGAAAGCGGCCTGGGCTCGAATTCAAAAACTGGCCGCGACGCCCCCCTGCGAACCGAAAACGACCAATTCCTTAATCGACGTGTCAAGGTAGGAGGTCTGTCCACCCCCGAAAGAAGTCGCGGCCTGCCACTCTCGCCTCCCCATCGCCCGGGTGCGCGGGCGAGGATTTGAACATCATGCCTGTCTCTGGGCCCTCCTCATGCCACTCCTCCTCCTCCTCCTCCTCCTCCTCCTCCTCCTCCTCCTCCTCCTCCTCCTCCTCCTCCTCCTCCTCCTCCCCCTCCTCTTCCTCCTCCTCCAACTCCTGCTCCTGCTCCTGCTGCTGCTGCTCCTCCTCCTCCGCCTCCTCCTCCTCCTCGTGTGGCGGATGGGAAGGAGGGAGGGATGAAGGGAGGAAGATCGGGTGGGAGCCGGTGGATCAGGAGGAGGGAGGAGAGAAGGAGGGATGAAGACGAGGACGAGGACGAGAGGGTGAGGATGAGGACGACGGAGAAGGAGAAGGAGGAGGATGCTAACGACCGACAGAGGGGAGAACTTCGCAAGCGGCGGAGAAGGCTAGGGCCCGCTAATTAGGGGAAAAGAGGACAAGGATAATAGAGGAAGAGGAGGAAGAAGAAGAAGAATAATAATAATACTAACAACAACGAGGACGAGCCGGGCGCGCTCTGACCAAGATTTCTAGGCGAACCCAGCAGTGGCGACGATGGCTTCCCAGGAGGCCCGAAAAGGCGAAACCAAGGGAAGGGCAGCGGTACTGGCACCATTTCCTCCTCCGAGATTTACCCCCCCTGGCTGCCCAAGGCGCCTCCTCCTTGCGTGTGATCGCCTGTGTCTCATCGTTGGCCCTCGCCTGCTTCCGCTTCTTGGACGGCAGCTTATCCGCCTCGCGTGGCTCACGAAGGGCGCAGGCAAGAGGAAAACGCCATCGTGCCTGGACGCAGGACGCTCCACAAGGACCTCAAATGGCTCCACAAGGGCCTCAAATGGGTCTACGTCGACCTCCTTCGTACCGGGCGGACGAAGACGACGTCGACCCGCCCAATTCCCCTTCTTACCGCGCGGACGAAGACGAGGTCGAATTCCACGACCCGCCCCAGTTCAGATCGCTGGCTTAACTGCTGGGGGGCGCAAGCCTACAGCGCGGGCGAAGACGGGATCGAATTCACGACAACCCCCAATTCAGACCGATCGCTGGACTGCCGTGAGGCGCGATCTCGACCTCCTTCCTGCCGCGCTGTCGGAGACAACGTCGAATTCTCGAACCGCCCAAGCGCGGAAAGCTCCGGGAACTGCTGCAGGGCCGGACCTCAGCATCCTTTCCTACCACACGGACGGAGGCGAGGTCAAATTTGCGACCCGCAGCTCAGACCGCTCGGTTCAATTAAGCTGCACGTCAATTGAAACTCATACTGCTGCTAAGCTGTTGTTGCACAAGTGCGGCGACGGGACTTTCCGCAAGCAGCTGGATACGAGAAATCCGAACCGGCACAACAGTCGACACTGGAGACAACTGAGGGGACCCACGACCCTGGGTAATAATTTGAAAATGACGTTTTGTTGATAGGTCGGCCAGTCACATGATGTCCCACACAATGTTGCAATAACGTATGGCAAACTGTACTCAATGCTTTGATACGCCGTGTCAGCTGTCCGCTGGGCTGTCTTGAGACTTCGTCGTGGTGCTCGTCATCATCACGCCCGCACCATCAACAAAAATCACCGCAACCGGGCATCAACACAACACGTACACGGAGACCCACAGGCTGCCGTCACGACTATGCGACCCGACGCAAGAGAAACCAGCGTGGACGGGCTGCTTTTTGCGCCGTGAATCGAACGGGGAGGATGTCGAGGAGGATGGGCGAACAGCATCACCAGTACCGTCGGGGTGTTGACTGAAGGAACCTTAAATAAGGAACGAAGCCGCTTTTCTCCAGAAGGTAAAATATCGACTTCCCATCGAAAATCCAAGGAACATCTGAGGCAAAGTGCGAAACAATGAGGGCACACGGAGCCCCTTCCCAACGAAAAGGGTTCCTTATTCAGCGCCCCGACTGTATAGTCGGGGACTTGACCTAAGGAACCCAAAATGAGGAACGAGGCCCCTTTTTTCCATAAGTTAAAATTCGATTTCCGATCGAAAACATAAGGACAACCTGAGGCAAAGTGCGAAACAATGAGGGAACACGGAGCCCCTCCCCAACGAAAAAGGGTTCCTCATTCCGCGCCCCGACGGTATAACCAGCAGCGCGACGGGCAAAGGGGAGCCAACAGACACACTCTCCAAGGGTCGCTCGGATCACGCGCCAGCCGTGGGGCTCGCGCGATCCAAGCAGCGCCCCGTGGGGGCTCGTGGCGCCCCGAGGGCCCCTTGGGGCCGCCACGGCCCGCGGTGCTCGCAAGGCACAGCTGGCCATCGCTCGGGCGTGCGTTTCCCGTGCTCTCTGTTCGGTTTCGCGCGTGGCCTTTTTTTCCGCCAAAGGATCCAGGAGGGATGCTCCTCGACGGTCCTCGCCGAAGGAAGAGAGGCACACGCCCAAGCGATGCCAAGCACAGAAGCCCGACGCGGTCCCGACGGCTCCGGGGGCCCAGAGGGGCCTGCGCGGCTCGCCCGGGCTCGCGCAGTGCGCGCTCGGCCCACGCGCACTGCGGCGCCCAAATGTGGCCCAGGAGACCTCTCGGGGCCTTGCGGAGCGCACTGGGCCGGCGAGGCTCGCGCGGCCCACGGGCCTCGCGCGGCCCACGGAGATCTGACAGTACACTGGAGAAAAAATCTGCTGACCCTGTCGGCATGTGCGAGGGTCTTGTCCGTTCGATTCGTCGTCCCCGTCATTCGTCAGTCGTCGTTGCTGTCATCCCCTTCCCTGCGCCCCCCATTTCCCTGGGCCCGTCGCCGCTCGCTCCCTTTCCTTGGGCCCTCCTCCTAAAGCGCTGGGCCCGACGCCGTTCCCCACCCCCTACCCCTAGGCCCTCCTCCTCAAGCGCGCCAGCCAAAACGAAATTGAGCAACGTCGTAATTGATTTGAAGGGAAGCCCCTTCCCTTTAATCCCAGGGGGCGGGTCCCGGGGGGGGTCTCGGGAGGGGGGGTCGCTGGTAATATGTGACTCCCCCCGGGGGGTCCCAGGGCCCCAAAAAGCCCCAAGACAGGCCAAGAGTGCCCCAAGAGGCCCCGGAGACGGTCCAAGAGGGCCCCGAATCGCCAAACGATCTGTCCAAGACGCCTTGACAGCCTCCAGACGGTCCAAGGTCCCTGCAAGACGTCCCAAGAGGCCCCCAGGAGCACTCTCAAGAGGGCCCCCGAAGGAAAAACCAATGATTTCCCATTGGTTTTTGTTGCATTTCGGCGTTCTCGCCTCTTCCGCCTCCCGACGCTCCAAGACAGTCCAAGAGGTCCCCAGAACGCTCCAAGACGGCCCACGAGGGCTCCAGGAGGAACCCAAAAACGGGCTCCCAGGTGCCCAGAACGAACATTTCGAGCCCTCGGCCCCGAGGCTTCCAGGAGGAACCAAGAGACCCCCGAGAGGCCCCCGAGAGGCCCCCAGGAGGCCCCCAGGAAGCCCCGAGAGGCCCTTCGAGAGGCTCCCAAGAGGCCCACCCCAGAGGCCCTCGAGAGCGCTCCGCAAAGACCCCGAGGAGCATCCTTGAGGACTCTGATTTGGACACCCGAAATGGGTACCGAAAGAATGGGCACAATGCCCAACAACGAATGTTGTCCCAAACCATCAGCGGCCGCTGTTGGGCAGGCGGCCTTCTGTCTCGAATGGACACAGGCCGCGGCGGCGCGGACAGCGAGTCCTGTTCAAAATGAACAGGAACTGCTGTTGGGCATTGTGCCCATTCTTTCCGTGCGCATCTCGTTCGTGCAGATCTGACCCACGCCAGCGTCGCGGTCGTCGCCGCCGCCTCCGCTGTCGCCGCTCCCCTCCAGGGCCGGCGGCGCCGGGGCCTCCGCAGCAGGAGAGGGGCCCGCGCTGCCCCCACGCGCACAACGCTGGCACCCATCGATGAAGGGGCCCCAGGACACACAAATAAATACACACAAATAAAATTACCCTGGCGACGTACCCAACCCCTGCGCAAAAGCGGGGCGCAAATAGTTTAGGATACTTTATAAGGGGGCGATGACGGAGCGAGGGTTACATATGTCTGCAGACGGAATTCGGGAGACTCGCAGGACACTGGCTACAGGAAAAGGGCTTGATAAAGCTGATGATTTACAATTCCTGAGCACTCCTAGCCACTTCGAAAACGGGGATCACAGCAGGCCTCGAAAGTGGCGACAGGTTCACAGATCGCAGCCCCGCAGGGACGGCGAGGTCTCATTTGAATCTGCCCGTGGCCCTCACTGTGCTGGGCCCCCCAGCAGGCCTCGAAAATGGCGGCAGTTTCGCAGATCGCAGCCCCCCAGGGATGGCGAGGTCTAATTTGAATCCGCGCGTGGCCCTCACTGTGCTGGGCCCCCCAGCAGGCCTCGAAAGTGGCGACAGTTTCACAGATCGCAGCCCCCCAGGGAGGGCGAGGTCTAATTTGGATCTGCCGCGATTACCCTCTATGCTGGACCCCCCAGCAGGCCTCGAAAGTGGCGACAGTTTCACAGATCGCAGCCCCCCCCCCCCAGGGATGGCGAGGTCTAATTTGAATCTGCCGCGATTACCCTCTATGCTGAGCCCCCCAGCAGGCCTCGAAAGTGGCGACAGTTTCACAGATCGCAGCCCCCCAGGAATGGCGAGGTCTAATTTGGATCTGCCGCGATTACCCTCTATGCTGGACCCCCCAGCAGGCCTCGAAACTGGCGACAGTTTCACAGCCCCCCGCAGGCAAGACAGAAAGAGGCAGGAAAGAGGCGGGAGGCGGGAGGAGGAAGGACGCGACCACACTGCTCTATTCAAAACGAATACCCAACCAAGGAGGGTTGGGAAATATCCCCCATATTTTCCCATATTTTCTGGGTTTCTGTCTTCCCCCCCACTTCCCATATTTTCCCATATTGTCCTGGGAATCGACGATTAATTGTGTCTGTGTGTTCCTTTCCCTCCTGAACAACGCTGGCACCCATCGACGCGGGACACGCGAGCACGAAGACGCGGGCGTCGGCTGTCCAGAGGCTCTGCTTTCTTCGGGCCGGGCGAAGAGGGGGGGAGAGCAGAGGTGGGGTTCGAGACGCAGCTCACGCAGCTGACTTCCCCGGCGCCTCCCGGCGCTAGGAGGCGCTCACGTATCGAGGAATGGGCCCGGCGGCGGGGCCGAAACCAGCTGCATGCAGCAAATTTCGTAACCCCCCCTTTCCCAATCCCCCCTTTTCACGGTCCCGAAGCACGGCCGAAAACTACCAACAAAAACCTCCCCTCCTGGTTTTTCCACGACGCCAGCACATCTGGGGTCCCCTCCCCCATTCGAGTAGGAAATCGACTACAGAATGGATTCACCCCGAAATTGAAATGTCAGTTGAATCTGCAAGACAAAGACGTAGGAGGTTGGAAATTTTCAGGCGATTATCTAGAGGCCTGGGAACACCCAGGAAATTGCGAGACCGAAACATCGGCTGGAGTCGGCAGGCACGCCGCCTCTTTTTTGGCGGGACAACGATTGAGCTGAACGGTAACACGATAACCGTTCGAAATGGTTATGCTGCATCGCAAATGTGAAAACATTAGATGCTCATTCTGGGGACCTTCCTGGAGCCACTCGCTCCACTCGTGCGTCGAAGCTGCGTCGAACCTGAGTAGAACCTGAGTCGAACCTGAGTCGAACCTGGGTCGAATCTGAGTCGAATCTGTGTCGAACCTGGGTCGAACTTGAGTCGAACCTGAGTCGAACAGATCCATTAGGTGGGCCCCAGGAAGGTCCCCAAAACGAGCATCGAAAAAACACCATACAACCTC